CCAAATGATTTGTTAGTCCTTAAGTAGAGTAATTTATCAATTCAGCAAAATACACCCTGCTGGTATCTTGAACAGACAGTATAGTTAATTTACTAAATTGGTATCTACTAAAACCTTGCAAAGTGAAACAGTCAAGGCAGCATTTCCCCAACATTTGAGATACAACTTGGGGAAATGAAATAATAACACTAGTAATTTTTTGTTTTAAAATCCCACCTCATTCTGAATAGGTTTAACTTGCATTTTAGCCCATAGATAGTACTTGTAGATCTGACAGAAAATGGACAATCATGAGTCTGAACACAGATCACTCCCCACCCCCCACCCCAACCCCCTGCCTCCAAACACAGGCACACACTGCGTCCTAGGGCACAAGTGCCATCCATGCCTTTGCCATGTGCAAGCATAGAGGCCCTGGACTGAAAACAAAATGACCTGGGCCCTGGAAACCTGGATCTGTGCTGAGCCCTTTCTGAACCCTGGGTGGGTGGGATAGTGGATTTAGGGTCAGGAATGTAAAATTCTTTCTAAAACTTTGGCAAGTTAAGTATACAAATGACTATTTCTTGATTGTCACTTTTATAAGGAAATATCATTCTACCTCCTGAAAAGATATTCTCCTATCTTACTTGACTTCCCTCTCAAACAAATGGAAGGCAAACTTCTGTAAAACAGAGGTGGACAAAAACCTCTGGTAACAATGATTATTTTTCACTTTCTCTATTTAAAAAGCATATAAAATGTATAGTCTATCACTGACAACTAACACGAAAATATTGCTCATAATGGAGGTTTGGGAATAACATGGCTAGTTATTTTTTGGGGGGTGCTCTATATATTTCATTCTTTTACAATAAACTATATATCAGACCTCTGATAAAATAATATTAGGTAATGCAAATTTTTTTGCTCTCTCAACCTTAATACCCTCACAGAGGTATTAAAATCAGTAATGAGCCAGCAAGTGTGGGGACTGATCATTCAGAGCTAATATTTTTCTAAAATGCTGTATTAGCTATACATTAACTTTTTCCAACAAATTTAAAGTTTTAAAGACAAGATTCAGGATAAACAAGCCCATAAAATACATAGACAGATTTTCTCTATGCCCACATGATTTTGTCCACTGCGACACATGATTGTTCTATTCCAAAGGGTAATGAAGGGTATTAAGCAACACGCAGGACCCAATATAGAGTCCAATTCTTGACATTAAAGGGTAAATGACCTTTCACGGTTTTGGGATAAAGAAACATTTTAATGTTACTGGAAATTCACCAGGCTAGGCATAACTTCATAACTGTGGTTGATACTTTGAGAACAGGAACAGATAAATTAGACAAATATATTGTAAAATAAAAAGATGTCTCTGATTATGCAGTTCTTTCTGGTTACAGAAAGAATGAATCCATCATAGATCTACAGGAATAAATTATTGATCAATTCAGATTTCTACCACAAAGTAGTCAAGTTAACTTGTAAAACTGGAGGACTCTTGGAGTAAGTAAAGCTGCCATAACCCTACCTTCACATTGTTTGGTTGGGAGAGGGAGAGGGGAGACAAAAAAGAGAAGGTAGGTACCTTGTGTCCACTGAAGAGGTATACTTTATGAATTGTACTCTTGGATACAATCATGGAATGGCTCTGCCACATCAAAATCTAAACTTGGAGGATACTGGGAAGCAATTAGCAAGCAATTAACACAAGCACCCACCCGTGTGCCTAGCACTAGGCTTGTTGCTGTGGGAAAACAGCAAAGTAAAGAGGCACATAGTGGTCTTGCCTCTAAAAGCATAAAATGCAATTTAAAGTGTGCTTTTTATTTCTTATTTAAAAATGAGAAATTCTAAATATTATGGTGATGTTAACCTAAAGTCCTTTTTTAGGTCTATATCTTTTCCAAGAAAAGAAGGTTAATATGGGCTTTGTTACAACTGGCAGATACCGCTGATAAATAACATACTCAAAAACAAAAACAAAACAAAACAAAACAAAAGCCCAGCAATTTGGTGATTGGTAGCTACTGAAAACTGGTTCTGTAAGTCACATTAAACTACTCTGGGTAAAGACATTTCATAAATGCTAAACCATAACACACACGTGAGGAAAACAGCTCTAGACACTCAAGTACTGTTTGGTTACATTTTGTTAAAGCTTACATTTCCTAAACTAAGCCTTATTTAAACTAAGTTTACTAATGACTTATATATCCTACTAGACTTAATTTTGACCATATGATCAAACACTGCCAACCCATTTCTGAAAAGATAATTACAACTCTTCATTTTAGATATTCACAAAAAGCCCAATTACTGAAGTGTGCAGGGGCCCGATCAGCCGACCTCATGACTGCAGACAACCCCTCCAAGGTACAGCCTTTAGCACACACCACCCCTCTGAGACATAGCCCTTAAGCGCAGAAGGGTGAACTCAGGGAGAACATCTTCACCTTAAGACTTTGTGTTGTGCGATTGGAAAGGTTTTAACAAGACCTCACATTTAGGTCCCTAGGAACTTCTAAACTTTAAGTCGCCATTAACCAAAGGAAAATGATACCTTTCTCAAGCAAGTGGGCACTCAGAAATACCTCTGAGTCATGTGCTTGCAGAAATACATAAGAAGTGGGAGTAAACATCTCTGCTGTTTCTAAGACCAATGGTTTTTATAATGAATAAATTGGCCACTTTGCCCTCACCACACATGCTCTAACTGAAGCAAATACACCATGCAATATGGACTGTCACAGCATTTTTAACCCTCCATCAATATCCAACTTGTACAAAATGGGCAGAGTGGTCAGATCTTGAAAAGACACTACAAGTCCCTACAGCTCTAAAATATGAAAGTCCTATGTCTTACTAACACACAAAATGTTAAAGGGAATTGTTAACTTGATGGGTTAATATTCTGCAAAATAACTTCTCACACAATTCTATTGTGTCTTCAATGTATTATCATCTGAAACTTCATAAAATTGGTGAACCACACAAAACACGTTATTTTAGAATTTGTACAGCTTAGTGCACCCTAGCAGAAGTATAATGATTATGTTTGTAAAAGTTATAAACCAATTTTACACTTTAAAATGCTTTAAAGTAATAATTCATTCACTTTATATCAAATCTATGAGCAGTCAAAATTATACCCATTTCACAGATAAAGAACTGGACCTTGAGGAAAAAAAACACCCATATATCAATCTAGAACAAGAATATGTATTCATGGTTCTTTAAAAAAACCCAGCCCTTCTAAGTTCTCCTTTCCTTCTCCTCTCTCTTCTAATTAATTCAGCAAAGTGGCTTATACGTAAGCTTATGCAGGATTTCTTACTAATCAACTATTCTTCCACTCTTAAAATAAGTAGGACTGGCAAGGAAAACTACTATTTAAAGTCCTTATGGCAAGTTAAAAAGACACACAGAAACCTAAGCAAATATCATCGCCTACTTAGGCTGTTTTGCTTGCACACTAATGCTAGAGTTTGGTATATACAGCTGGGTAACAGAGGATCCTACGGAAGCAGATCTAATTGCTGAGCAGAATTTGAAATCATTCCAATATTTGGTTTTCTTTCAGGGTTCAGAGTGAGGTCTTACTTAACTGGGAAAGCTCCAGAGACAGGAGTTTTGGGCAAAGACTAAACAAGATATGGGAAAGTAGTTGCCCAATCTAAATCACAGTCATCTGGGTATTCCAATGTAACACCCTGATATATCCCATTCCACTCAACATCACAGTAAATAGGGATAAACCTTCTGCCACAAAACAGTATCAATAGTTAAGTTACATCTCAGTCAGTGAGTCTCATCCAAACTCTTTCAGGACACAAGTTATTTCTGTTATCTGTAAATGTTTGGCTTATAAGAACAGGGACATAAAGTACTTTACAGTGCGCTGGTGTAAATCAATTTACATGGATTCTAACAAACACCGATTCATCTTAAAAAGGAGCTTATTCATTAGGGGAAATGGCTACTTACTCGATTTTGGTGAGAAAAAGGAAAGAAGAAGATACAAATAATCTAAGTTGACAGGATACGACAGAATATCCCTTAAGCTAAAGTTATCTCAATTTAAAAAGACCACAAATTAAAGTCATTATTTTAAACATAATTATAAAATTTTCATATAAAATATATTGTTAAATTTTAAACTAAGTCCACACTTTCTTAAAAAATAGCCTCTAGGACACTGACTGAGATAACAAGGACCAAGAATACTGAGCAAGTGAACATTATAATTTGCATTAATGATTTTTAAACCTTACTTTTTAATTAATATTTCAACTTCTCTTGGTAAAAAGGATCTTCTGTTAAGAATTTGGATTCTATTTTGATCTTTAACAAGCCAAATTAGCTTTTTTGTATGATATTTAAGATATAAATGGCATTACTTAATATAATTATAAAGTACATGAGGGAATTAAGGATTTGCTAAAATTATCAATTACTAAAATTCAGCAATTTTACTGACTTTTTCCCTGATAAAGGAATATTATATATATGTATGTATATGTATGTGTGTATACAATAAAGTTCATATGGACAGTAAATCAGAAAATACTTTCTATGGTGGCTTTAAAGTACACTTTTTAACCAAAAATGTTATCCAGAGCCATTTTAGGCAACAATGTAACCAAAATATAAATAGTAGAAATTCACATCCCCTCCAACAACTGTCCTTCCGCTTGGAACACAATGCTGTGGTAAGCACTGTGTTCACTTAGCTGCAGCTCCATTTAAGTATGGAATCAAAGCACAAAAAAGAAAAACATGAAGAAGTAAACAGGAAAAATATGTACTAATATTTAACATATGCTTTCTGAGTGTTAGGTTCCCACAGAAATATTTTGCTATGTGTTTTTAAAACTACTTTTCAAGGGTAGCTGTTTTCATCCAAAGATCGATCTCCCCCACTTTCATTATCTTTTATAATGAAACGCTGTTTTCAAGTTACTTATTGGAGTCGTTACCAGCAAACACTGTCACACACATCCAGTTCAAGATATGAATATTAGTGTAATACTCAGTTTCCGTTATAAATAATATATGTATAAAACAAATAGGGCTGCCATTACTCATATACTGCAATAAATACACAAAAATGACTACAAATTGTTTTTCATAAAAATACAATTTCTAATCAATTTAGGAGATTTCCAATCTATGAGGACATTAAATACTTTAAATATCAGGCAGTCTCCTCTGTTACAGAATGCCAGTCAGGAGAGATCTGAGAGAGATTCTTTATTGGTAGCCATATACAGTTGATTATACCATCTCTGTGTTTTCTTGCCATTTAAGAAAAAATATAGAACCTGGACATTTAAAACATTATCAATGCAATAATCACTACAGACTGTCACTGAATCTATTAAAATTTTGTTAAAAATTACCAAAGTCATGATGAATACAATTATTGCAGCTACATCATTTGAAAAAGTAATATAAATTATGCTGCTAAAGACAAAAAACATTGAAACACATAAACATCACAATGTAACACAGCAATAACTCATAACTATTTAATATGAAAAACTACATTTAAAAAGTTATGTTAGAGAACTTGGGAATTTTCCACTTTAGCAAAAACAATCTATGTATCTCCAACTTCTATGATACAGTATACGATAAAATACTTTTAAAAGATAGGACATTCAAATGCTTCATTTACACAAATAATATTGCCAATACTAATAAAAGTGATGCCCTTAAACATGGATTGCTCTGCTAATTGTGATTTTAAAAATGTTTTCTTTACTTCATTTTACATTTTAGTTAGCAGTTAGCATTGCGTATTAATCAGTTCTGGATTGACAAATAGAGAAGATCCTAGTCAAAATACTGTTGCTCAAAAGTAATGTACATCATATTGCTTGAAACTAACAACCATATAAAAGTGGGGATTGTTTATCTAAACATTGATTATGAAAGACAACTGGCATATATTGGGCAGAGTGTTGAGTTCATGATGGTTTATTTATGATAAAAGTACTTTTACCGAAGCTAACATGATAGATAAGTTTCTATGTCAATTACTACAGTCTCTTAAAGTTATAAAAATATTATATAAAATACCACAGGCTTTAGAGGATATAACTTCATGTGGTTCTGATACTAGCAGCTGAGAAGTATTTATAATTTAAAAATAAATAAACTATAGAGGTAAACCAGTTACAAAACAGCAGAGGACTGCAATAGTCACAAGAGTGAAAAGAATTGCTTAAGTACGCAATAGCTAACAAAATGGTGAAGCAGTTGGATCAAAAGTTTTAAAAACCTCTTTCAGAGATTTGTCATCTGGTTCTCTACTGGGATCATTTTCTGGGGTGGGGCTCATTTGTCCTGGCTGCCTTGACTGCCTTGGATCGCTATACTGAGGTCTAATTAAGCCTGTTAATGCCTGAATAGGAAGACTGTGCACTGCTGGGACCTGAACCACACCAGAACTCCTGAGATTATCTGCCTGTGGGTCAGCTGGCCCGTCAACAGTGACTTCCACATTCGGACTGGTTTTCTGTGGTGGGATTGCTTCTCCAGGAGAAGGTTCATTTTTGTCACTACTTTTTAAACTACCACTTTTTTTCTGGTTCTCTGCATTTTCTGTTGCTTGCTCTGATGTAGATGATGAACCATGCTCTCTAGGGTCATATAAACTAATGCCACTAAGAACTGAACTTGGAGTTCCCAGTGGAAGGCCAGCTGAAGATGAGAGTTTAGGGGCATATGGGGGCAAAGGCCCAGAACCAGAATTGCTAGTTACTGCCCCTGAGGGCTGTGATGAACCAGGGTTGGATCTGGCTAAATGAGGGGCACCCTTTAATGTATGTGAATCCTTCATAACCGCCTGATGAGACTCTGTACTGTGCAGTCTATGAAGTCTAGGATCAAAATTTTTTTGCAGCCTAGGATCTCCTAATTTACTTCCTGAATTATGTAAGTCTCCAAATTGTTCTAGGTAGCCTTCTCTGTTTGTGGTGTTAATTTTGGCTTTGGCTGCTAATTTTGAATCAATGGGCACTGTGTTCTGATGAAGATCACTTTTTGTATTCCATAACCTATTGAGCCTCTGGTCAGCTATAAGAGGGGGCAGAGGTAAATTGATTGAAGATACTGGGTCAGGTTTAGGTAAGGGGACTGGAAGTAAATCTTCTGGAGCCCACACGATGTGTTTTGCAAAGTTGGGTTTGGTTAGGATAATATCCATTTTAATGTGACTGAACTGTCTCAGTTGTGACCTTGGATCCTGGAGCATTATACCAGGGGAAGAATCCAAAGGTATTAAGAAAGCTTTTTCTCTCAATTCTCTTTCTGTATCTTCATCATCATCATCTCCTCTTTTGTGTTTGACAGAGCCAGCATTTGCATGATGTGACTCGAACTTTGTTCCAACGGAAGATCCTATGTGACTACTTCCACTCCCTCTTAATTTCCTGGGATCCCATGCAAGTCTAAGATCCAGAGGGGCCGACTCAGAAGCTTTTCTCATGTCTTGCCTTGGGATAGTACGAAGTCTAGGGTCAACAACTTGGTTTCCTTTACTTTTCTCTTTAGCAAGTCTTGGATCAGTAGGAGTGCTGAGCTCTGTGGAAGGCTGTTGCTGATTCCTCAGAGTTTCTGTTTGTTTCTGTAATGTTTTCAGTATTGACTTGACACTGCTTCCTTCTTCCTCTTCACTACTGGAATACCAGTTAACAGTCTCATCTAAATGTAGACAAAAACTTATTGTAAAGAATGAAACATTCATATTTGGCCTTAAGATAATTTAAAAAAACACATGCTATTTCTGAAATAAGTGTAGTCTAACTGCAAGAAAATGCATCACAGAAATGCCAGAGTTTCAACACTGGAACAAAATTCGGTGGGGGATGATAATGATCAATTTAGTCATTATACTCCATAAAGAAAGAGGTGTGATATTAGAATATGTGTAATGTCCTTCCAGCCAAGGAAAAGTCAGGACCTTTCATTCCAACTGGCCAAAGTGTATGTTGTATGACAGAGTTGGGGAAGAAGAGAAATTACTCTTGGAAAAGAATACCAAAATGTTTTGGATCTCTTTAATTCAAGTAATACTTAGGCTTCATAGCTCTGGATTTATCAAGATAACAAGGGAGAAATACTTTTTAAAAATCTGGAAAGAAAACAAAAACACTAATAGTACTGGTTAAGGAAGCAATAGGAACTGAGCAAAATGAGGGATGAGGTAGAGACTTTTCATTTATAGCTTATTATATTTTTAGATGCTTGACATATGAGAAGATATTAGCTATTTAAATGTTCAAAATTAAAAATAACAAAACTAACATCCTGAAATTTATATACTTTATGGGAACATTTCAGGCCTTACTCCTAAAGCCTATTTAACCTTAGCGTGTTAGACATCCTATTAAGAAGCTTAACTATCAGAGGTATTTTCACTAGTAGAACAGAGGGATTATAAACTGATGGTGCAGGTGGGGAGTCTTCTTCCTTTCCATTAAAACATACATATGTTGACTCTGAATTGGTTACACACACACACATACATATACATATGTATATTAGAATGTCTTGGATGAGTAGAATATTATAAATATTCTCACTTTACCTCATCACATTGCTCATTAATGTGTTTCTATTACATGGAACTTTAGTGTTACACATTTAGTTTGAACAGAGCTTACAAAACAGGTACTGAAATTTAGGCTGGAAGTGTGGTTTAAAATTGTATAGACGGGGGCACATGGGTGGCTCAGGCAGTTGAGTGGCCAACTATTGATTTTGGCTCAGGTCACGATCTCACTGTTGGTGAATTCGAGCCCAGCCTCAGGCTTTGCACTGACAGCACAGAACCTGCTTGGAATTCTCTCTCTCCTCTCTCTCTGCCCCTCCCCTGTTCTCTCTCTCTCTTTCTCCTTCAAAATAAATAAATAAACATAAAAAGGTCTTTAAAAATAAAAAGGTAACATAAAATTTAAAAATTGTATAGATTATATCACAATGGAAAAAAGTTTTGTTTTTGTTTTTGTTTTTTAAGATTTTATTTTTAAGTAATCCCTCTGCCCAATGTGGGGCTCGAATTTACAACCCCAAGATCAAGAGTCACATGCTCCACTGATCCAGTCAGCCAGGCACCCCAATACAATGGAAAAAAGTTTTACTCATATCTCAGTATCTGAAAAAAAAATTACTTTTAGGGGTGCCTAGGTGGCTCAGTCAGTTAAGCATCCTACTCTGGATTTTGACTCAGGCCTTGATCTCCTATCTCATGGTCATGAGATTGAGCCCCATGTTGGGCTCTGCACTCATGGTGGAGCCTGCTTAAGATTCTTTCCCTCCCTCATCCTTGGGCCCTCTCCCACTTGCACTCTCTTCACAATAGGAAAAAAAAAAAAAAGAGTGAGCTAGCTTTCAAAATAACAACAACAGCCTCTCTCTAGACACTAGACCTCTTTTCTTCTCAGTGACCTCAGGAAGCCTAAAGCTTTTACCCGTTACCATTATTTTAAATATTTCTATGTAGTAATTTCACTCCTCATAGAATTTGTTACTTGATCCAAATCTGATCCATATATGGAAGATGCTATTTTATTTTGACTTTCATATCTAAAGCAATCTTAAATCCTTTTTGGAATGAGAATGAATATACTATAGAAGGAAAGCAAACCAGTAGAGCCAGGCCAATGGAAAGGAGATGTTAGATAGGAAATGACAGTTACCAGCTTTTTATCAAAGGACAGGTAAAATTTATAAGGGCATTAAAATTTATAAAAATGAACACAAACACAAAAAACCTAGCTGTTCAAGATTTCTTCTCGACACAGAGAAAAACCCTCATAAAAGACTACTAATTATATAATATTATATATTTTGTATATATATATATTGTATATATTGTATATATTTGTATATATATATTTTGTATATATATATAATATATATATACAAAATTTTATATACAGAAAAACTACATTTTTCTTATTTATGAAAATATAAATCTTTTTAAGACTTTATAGAAAGATTATCATTAAAATTGTTTTTTCTTAAAATTAAGTTTTAGCACTTAACACAGCAAACACAAACTGTACAGGAAATTAGCTTATTAGGAATCCCTCATTTCCCTGTCATGTTAAATAAATGAAGAGTTAATACTACCATCTTTTAAAAAGCAACAAATAATGTTTATATAATAGCTTGTAGCTACCTAATGTTACCTAGTTCTACATAGTTATTTATAAATCTTATGTTTAAGAGTGGGCAAACGGGCACCAGGCTGACATAGTTGGTGGAGCATGTGACTCTTGGTCTCAGAGTTGTGGGTTTTAACTCCACAGTTGGTGTGCAGTTTACTTAAGAAAAAACAAACACACACACACACACAGGAGAATGGGCAAACAGATCAATTTTGTAATTCATAAGAACTGAATGCTTTAAGCTTTCTCTTGTTAACTGAATTAACTAATTGCTAAACACTTATCAATATCAAAAACACTAGGGTAAACTTGGTGTCTCCACATAATCTTTTACATTAAAAATAATACTCCTTCATAATATAGTAGAACCTGAAATATACAGCCTATGCCCATAAAAACTTCTCTAATAACTGAATAATTTTAACCTTGGGCTAGAAGTCAAAATTCCTGAACTGGAAGATGTCCTGTTCTTGTTCTATTTCTTTCCTCCAAAAACAGGACTTCTTAGCAAGTCTGCTCAGCCAGGCCCCATTCTGTAGTTTCAGATCTATTCACTGCTTCAGATCAAACCCTTTGCAATTAATTACTAAAGCACTTATGGCCCTGGAAACCACAATCAATTCCAGGCACACAGCAGCTACGAAATAAATTGGAAATAGAATAGATAGTTTAGAGGAGCTCATTTTCCAAATTTTAACCTATTCAATGCTATTTCAGGAACCGAGTAAACCAAAGTAAGATGCTATCATAGCACCTGACACACCTTCTTCCTTGCTTGGTGCCCTTTGAGGCTGGGTGCTGCTTGGTTCATCTTCTTCTTGGTATTTCTGAGTAAGTCTGACAAAAAGAGCTCTCTGCACTGCAGGAAGGAGACCTGGTGCAGGCAGGGGGCCGTGGCCTGTCGTGTTGCTGCTGCCGTCAGATCCATTCCCCCGGTTTGGGGAGTCTTGAACAATGGGAGGCTGATGCTGGGCAAACTCAACATGCCACATGCCATCTATACACATAACACAGAAAGACACAGATGCTGATTGAGCACAAAACTCCTCTAGAGAGCACCACGGTGAGTTACAACAAACTGAAGCTCTAATACTAACAACATTTGATTACCAAATTATTATGTGATTGTCAATATTTTTTAAAGCTATCTAAGTTCTGGTGTAACCAACGTTTGGTTAAATTTAAAACATATTTTATGGTTTTGGGGCGCCTGGGTGCTCAGTTGGTTAAGTGGCCAACTTGACTTTGGCTCAGCTCATGATTACGTGGTTCATGAGACGGAGCCCCACGTGGGGCTCTGAGAGCCTGCTTGGGATTCTCTCTCTCCCCCTCTTTCTCTCTGCCCAACTTCGTTTGTGCTCTCACACACGCTATCTCTCTCTCAAACTTAAAAAAAAGCACATTATGGTTTTAATTCCATTACATTTTACTTAGCTTTATTTAAAACATACATTCTTATGTTTTAGTGAAAAATAGAGAACTCCAGAGATTTTAAATTAAAAATGAGTTATTTCAGAAGGTAAACTTACCACCAGCATTATTGGATGGCTGAAAATTATGCACAGGATGCTGTGAATAGTAATTATCATAAAACTCCGCTGGGTTTTGTATGGACTCATAACTGGTGTTGAGCTGCATTTCACCAGTACTTTGCAGGTATGATGAACCTGGAGAACAGTGATTCTCTCTAGGTACTTTCATCATGTGTTCTGGAAAGCCTGGGCAATGATAAGCACCACTCATACTTGGTGGTGTCAAAGGTGGGTCTGGTTGAACAAGTACTCCAGCTTGACTGTGAGGACCTAAAATTCCAGGTGGACCAGGCGGCAAAGGTGGGCTGTGTGGCACTGCTGCACAGGGATGATGTCCGGGGGAGCCTGGGTGCATCACAGGACTATTGTGTCCCTGAGAAATATTGGGTCCAGGACCTGGACTTGACCCAGAACTATAGATATGTTGAGGATGTGGGCTGCTTTCCTGAAATTGTGGTCCTGGTGGTGAGGCACTATTATAAAATGCTGGTGGCCTGTAGACAGAAGGAATATTTCTTAGTTCAAAGAAAGACGCAAACAAGAATGTTACATTTTTAAGATGTATTGGTTAAATGTGTTTTTCTATATCAGGATGTGTTTTTAAAAAGCAGTTTATTTCATATTATCTCCAAATGAAAATATTAATACATGCATCTTGCCTTCATTTTTAGCCCACAGTCTTAATTGCTGCTCACTATCAGCTGTTCTAAAACTTACTCAGAGATTATTTTGAAAAATACAGAAAAGTACAAAAAAAATAAGAATCACCTCTAATCCCACCACCCAAAGATAAATTTTTTGATTAGTTCTCTCCTAGTCTTTTTCTAGGCATACACAGATATTTTTTATACATAATGAAATTAGAATTATACTACATAGACATACAACTTTTCAATTTCTAATTGATTACTGCTGGCATATAAAAAGATCTTTAGGTTTTGATTGTTGTTCTTTTTTTCTGGATATCTTGCTAATTTAATTACTATTTCTAACAGTTTCATCAGTTGGTTCCCTCAGGATTACTGAGGGAAACTGCCCAAATAATGTCCTGTCTCTCCATTTCTAATCTTTATATCTATCATATCTTTCTTTTTTTTGCATTGATGAGGATCTGCTCTATAGTATTAGTCAAACAGCAGACATAACCTGTCTTCTTCTTGACCTTAACAGAAATAATTTTAATGATTCACAGTAACTGTGATGTTTCCTATAGATTTCTTGTTCCTTATTTGTGACATGTCATTGTTTCCCTGAGTGTTCAGGGTTAAAGAATAATCAACAATAGGACTTAAGGCCCAGGTGCACAGACCCTGGGGTATGGGTAGCAACACTGGAATGGTAGTTAGAAAATGCAAATCTGGTTCCAGCCTGTCCAAAGATTTTCCTCTAACAGCCTCAGAAAATACTTCTCTAAAAGAACCAAATATCAGTATCCATGCAGCCTCCTAACAAACTGGGAGAAATATCAGTTCCATCAACCTGGCAGTGTCCTTCTGGATGGATTACTGTGTGGAGAGGTTTCTGAAGGTGTATTGATTCCATAGAGAAAAGCATGGATGGCATGCAAAGAGGAGGGACAAAGAGAAAGTAGGAAGTAGCAAATGGGGTGAATGCCAGATATCTGCTAACTCAATACTCAAGTTTAATTATATGATTACTGTGGAATACAAGTTAGTTTCTTAATAAGAATTTTTAGGGGAAAAAATAGTATCATTAAAAAAAATTTAACTTACTTCTTCCCAATCTTATGTGCTAAATCCACAGTAGGTTTTACAACTATTTCAAAAAGAGATGGGATTTTCTTGAAATCATCAGAGAGATCTGTCTGAAAATCATCTTCAGGATCAGAAAAGGGAAAATGCTCTGGTGGGGTTGGCAGAAGCCCAACTCCTGGAGGTGGTTTGGGAAGAGGAGTTATGCCCCGTTTTCTAAGTTCTTCTAATTCTCGTTCATCTTCGTTTGTGGCTTCTTCTTCAATGTTCAACACCTAAAAATAATTGGCAAAGATTACTATTTCAACACAAGCTTTCTTCCTTAAATTAAAAAATTTTTAAATGGCAGCGCTTGGGTGGCTCAGCTGGTTGAGTGTCTGACTTCAGCTCAGGTCATGATCTCAAAGTATGTGGGTTCGAGCCCCGCGTTAGGTTCTGTGCTGCCAGCTCAGAGCCTGGAGCCTGCTTCAGATTCTGTGTCTCCCTCTCTCTCTGCCCCTCCGCGTCTCACACTCTGTCTCTCTCAAAAATAAACAAACATTTAAAAAAATTAAAAAAAGTTTTTTTAAATGTTTATTTTTGAGAAAGAAGAGAGATGGGATGGGGGGGAGAGAGAGAGAGAGAGAGAGTGTGTGTGTGTGTGACTCGCGCACCCATGCATGGCGGGGAGGCACAGAGAGAGAGAGAGACAGAGGATCCAAAGCAGGCTCTGTGCTGACAGCAAAGAGCCCGATGTGGGGCTTGAACTCACAAACCACAAGATAATGACCTTAGCCAAAGTCGGATGCCCAACTGACTGAGCCACCCAGGTGCCCCTCTTACTTAGGTTTAAAAGCCACGAATACTTCAATAAACTAGTTTTGATATTAGAAAAATATCATTTTAAAGTAAAATGGATCAGAGAGAAAGAACTCATTTTTGATAATAAGGTTCAAAGTGGTAAAAAAAATTTCTCAAAGTACATTAGCTTTTTAATGGCAGAACAAGGGTAAGAAAAGGTTAATTCCTAGCCCAATATTTCTGCTTTTCTACCACACAACATTAATGGATTAAAATCTAAAATAACAAATCCTTGATTTCTCAGGAGGGTTTTATAAAATGTAATTTATAGAACATGATTCAAGTCAAATGAATCTGTGGTGAGACCTAACAAACAATTGAAGTGCAAAAATAGTACTTACTTTATCCAAAAGTTTCTTTGTTTCTTTAGTCAGATCATCATGTGAAAATTTACACTTGTCTCCTTGGTAACACTTTGCTCCACTGTGATAGAACTTACATGGAAATTCATGTAAATAAAAATATTAAGGAATAAACCAAGTAAAATCAAACTCTTAATATTTTTAAACCACAAAACATAACTAACTGTGCTGAGTAATCTAGATTACTATATATTGTATTAAATTTTCTAAAATCATGTCAGATTAGACAAGTTAATTTTTTATTTTAAGATTAAATATTTTCATTAGGCAGCAGTCAAAAAGTTTTAAATCTTACTATATTAAACTAGAAATTTTTAAAGAAAAATATTTATAATTGTTACAGCAAACATATAGTATTCTAGTTATGTAAGTCTTCTACTTTCCATAATAAAAATATTATACAGAGCTAATACATTTTGTAACAAGAGTTTATATCTATGAAGAAAACAAAAGGCCTTGGTATGTCATGTTAAAGTCAAATATCCCAACAAGAAAACTATAAGCAAATCTATATCATTATTTTGGAGACAAACTTAAACTGCTAAAGAAAATATTAAATCCAGAAGTTTATTAAAAAATATACCATTTTCGTTTACGTTCAGGAAGTTCCTGATTGGTTTTAGGGAATTTATTACTGTAATCATCACACTGACAACATCAAGAGAGACAAATCATATCATCATCTCAGCAGATACAAAAGGTAACTGATAAAAAAATTCAAAATCTTTTTTTTGATTTAAAATAAAAATAAAAAACTCTTAGTAAAATAAGAACACAGTTACTTAACTTGATTAAAAAAATCTATCTTAGGGGCAACTGGGTGGATTAGTTGGTTAAGTGTCCGACTTTGGCTCAAGTCATGATCTCACAGTCTGTGAGTTTGAGCCCCGCATCAGGCTCCGTGCTGACAGCTCGGAGCCTGGAGCCTGCTTTGGATTCTGTCTCCCTCTCTCTGCCCTTCCCCTAATCTCTTTGTCTCTCTCTCTCTCTCAAAAATAAATAAACATTTAAAAAAAAAATCTATCTTAAAACTACAGCCACAGGGGTGCCTGGCCGGCTCAGTCAATCAAGTGTGGGTATCTCAGTCTCACGGTTCTATTGTTAAGCCCCCACATTGCGTGTAGAGTTCACTTGAAAATAATATCTTAAAAACAAAAACAAACAAAAACAAAAACAAAAACCAAAACCTATAGCCACAAGCCAAAGCAAAAAGGCACTATCATTAAAACATGCATTATGTCCATCAAAATCACTGTTATTTAACATTATGCTGGAAGTATAGCCAATACAATGAAAATTAAGAAGCTTATGATAAAAGAAGTAAAATCATTATTTACAGATGGCATGACTATGGGGAAAACATAAGAATAGGCTGAAAGCTTTTATTCCAGTAAAGCGTTTGGTTTCTAAAGAAATATGCCAAATCTTAAAAAGATTGATTTCTTTTTCTTAAGTCAAAATTTTATAACATTTTGATAGAGGAAGGAGGATTATTTACCCTACTACCTATCAAATATACTATTATAGAGGGGAAGAGTCAAATAGCACAATGTGTAAAAGTAGTGTATCGGTAGATCTAGTCAAGATGCTGTTTTAAATCAATGAAGATGAGATAATAAGTTTAACCATTTGGAAAAGAAATAAGGTCCCTACTGCACATCATACATTAAAAAATAATCCATATCAGTTAGAGATATAAATATTAAATTAGAAAAAAATACAGCCTTCACAACCATAGCTGGATCGCGTTTTTGTAAAAAATTACGTGTAAAAATATATACATAAATACATCCAGTCACACATACATACCTTAGCATGGAAAAAAATCTTAAAGGCTTCACACCATATTGATAGCATGGTTATCCGTGAAGAGTGAGATTACTTCAGATTAAAAAAAGTCAACCTGAAAATTATCAAACATGTACCAAAGTAGAGAGCTTAAAAATAATGAGCTCCCTTCTGCTGGCCATGTAGGTTCAACAATTTTCATCATTTGGAATTCTCTGAGATCTTTGTCACTCCTATACTCTCTTCTTGAGCCTTCCTCCAAACACTGGAGTATACAAAACACAGCATATTCCAAATACATTTCATCAGAAAATGTTTCCAAATTTATTTCAAATGGATCAGGAATATTTTTCTTAGCAATCACAACCTTACCATCAATCTGAAAAAATTAATGCATTAATTTCATCTGATACCCTGGTCAATACAATTTTCTGGAAGGTTTCCAAAAAAATGTCTTTTTATAACTGGTTTATTCACATCAGGATCCAAACATGATCCATAAATTGCATTCAGTTAAGATACCTCTCAAATTCCCTCTGTTGATCTCTAGAAGTCCTCCCTGATTTTTGCATCATTTGTTAATTTCATTATTTGTTATAGGTGGTGTTTAAATACTCCCTATTGCATCATAGTAGGAGGCATTTAAGGTATAGTTGGGACTTTTAGTGATGTTAAGACCAAACAGTTGGCTCTGGTGCTGTCAGACCCATCTATCAATTATAAAGTTGCTCACCAACATTTCACCTAATGAGTTTAGCGGCCATCAGTAATCACTGCCCAGACCAATTAGAATTTGCAAAATGGTGGGATTGCTGGATCAAAGGGAGAATTCACAGGTAATTTTGCCAGAGGCTGCCAAGCTCCATCTGTAAGGGTGAACCTTTTTGCATTCCTACCACAAGGTTGGAGCGTCATCTGTTTTTTCACAGCCTTGATAACAAACCCTGCTGTCTCACTTTTGTTTTCATCTTTACAAATCTGATAGCTACAAATGGTATCTCGACATACATTATATTATGAATAGGATGGAACATCTTTTTATACATTTTGGGAACATCTGCATTTCTCTTTTTGTGAATTATCTGTATCTCTTGCTCATTTTTCTTTCCAATTTTTAGTAACTAATATATTAAGGCTGTTACCTCTCTGTAAGTGATATAAGTTGCAAATAATTCTTCTCATTTTATTATTTATCTTTGACTGCAGAGGTCATATTTTTGTCATGCAAGTTTAAAATTTTTTATGCAAATTTTTAATCTTTTATTGCTTCTGGATTTTAAGTCAGATTTGGGAAAGTTTTCTATTCTTCTGAGTTATGAAGGAATCTATTCATATAATCATCTGATTTGTATGGTTTTATTTTTTATATTTAGATCTATGATAAAAAGGGATTTTTCACTTAATTTGTTATTATTTTTTGACCTACACAAGACTATTCAAAATTTTAGATGAAAGAAATAAATGTGAGGATCTATGAAATATCAGTTAGCTGGCAAGGCAGAAATAACTGCAGCAAAGCAATACAGACAAAAGGGCAAACAGATCCATGGAGCCCCACAGAAAGTCCAGAACAAAACCAAAAACATACATGTAAACACTTCACCTACAATGAAGATGGAGTTTCAAGTCAGGGAGGAAAGGTTCCATTAGTCATAAATGGTAATGAATAACCAGCAACATAATGGGGGGACAGTTAACATAGAAAGATGCATAAGATATAGATATAGAGAGATAGACTATACAGATACAGATATGAAGATATATAAAGATATAGATGTACATAAAATTTGTTTTAAAGAACTATGTATAATGAAATACCAATTTAAGTGGGGACAGGAGTTACAACTTAAATGTATAGATATCCAAATAGAAATATGGAAGAATGTACTGTGTTTGTCATTGCATGATAAGATTTGATGAGACCTTGGCTTTGTAATTTTCAACAGTAATTTAATACTTATATTCATAAGTAAAAAAAATTAAGTGGTAGAATAAATAGTTTGCCAACTTCCTTTAGGAAGTATAGTTGCTTGAAATACTTATAAGCTGAGTATATTAAATATAAAGTCCCTTTAGTTCATAGATTTTTTTTTCTCCAGAGGGAAGTTATTTTATTTCCCTAAAGAATACTTCAGTTTGCCCTTTTGAAACACAAAGGCTAACTAGACTTCATTTATGTAATGTGCTATTTTAAATTTACAACCAAAGTAGCCTTTCTAGGTTGGGATTTTTAATAACCTCAGTAATGTTAAAATAAATAAATAAATAAAATTAAAACCCCAGTAATGTTTTATAACCTCAATATTTTGGTTAACATATTTTTAATAAAGGATATTATGCATATAAATACAGTTCTCTCCTTTGGTACAATATCCTTGTAAATAAAATTTGCAGATCTCTTTTCTCTTCTCCAACTCTGCATCATGATCAAATTTACACTGATCTCCCTGTCACAAAAAAGAAAAAAAAAAAGAAAAGAGAAATATTGAATTTTCTCTATGGTATTTCATGGTAGAACTATGGATACATCTTCAGTCTTTTAAATAATGAGCCAATAATAATTCAAACAATCCCTTGGAATTCTTGCCCAAGACAGTGGGTGTGGCTATGTGCAGAGGCAGCACAGTGAGCAAGGCCTCAGAGGCTACTGCCTGGCTTCTATCAGCATTCACCGTTTCTAGCTAAGCTACTGGGGGCACTTATTTAATCTCTTGGTTTGGCCATGTTTAAAGAGGGGATAATATGAAGTGCCTGGGTGGCTCAGTCAGTTAAGTGTTCAACTCTTGGTTTTAGCTCAGGCCATGATCTCATGAGATTAGGCCGTGTCCTGCTCTGCACTGACAGCAGGGAGCCTGCTTGGGATTCTTTGTCTCCCTCTCTCTCTCTGCCCCTCCCTCTAGCTGTCTCTCTAGAAATAAACGAACATTTAAAAAAATTTAAAAATTTTTTTATATTTGGGATATTTATATTTATATTTGGGATAATAACAGTAACTACTTCACAGGTTTGCTGTAAAGATTAAAACACTGATCTCTGAACAAACACTTGAACAAACACAAGTGATCTACCTGCCACACAGTCAGTATTATGTGTGCTAAATAAAATCTGATTTCAACAAATTATATTATTGTCCCAGAATATAATTAAATGAGCTCTGATGTACAGTATTTCCATGCAAGATACATTTCAAAGAAACAATTCATATTACAAACTATATGAGAAATGAAAAAACTAACCACCCCCAAAAGACTAAATTTTAAAATTTATTTTGGAAGTTAAAATGACTTATGAGAGGGGCGCCTGAGTGGCTCAGTCGGTTAAGCGTCCAACTTTGGCTCAGGTCATGATCTCACGGTTTGTGGGTTCGGGCCCCACGTCAGGCTCTGTGCTGACAGCTAGCTCAGAGCCTGTTTCAGATTCTGTGTCTCCCTCTCTCTCTGACCCTCCCCTTCTCATGCTGTCTCTCTCTCAGAAATAAATAAAACATTTTTAAAAAAATGACTTATGAGATACCCCTATAAATTTACCTTAATACATCTCCCTTCCAGAAAGTATTTACAGATTTGTTTTCCTTTGTGTTCCACTGTGTGCTGATTAATGAATTCCTGAGTCATAACCTTCCATTTTTTCCCCGGTTTACTATACTGCAAGAAAAAAAAAATCATTTGAATACAACATATGAAATACTAAAGGTATTAAAATGGATAGTCAAATGGATTGAGAAAGCAGTACAACTTAACGTGGCTAAGACTAGACATTCAGACACTATCATTTATTTAGAGAGTTATATTTCTAATACCCTGTTTATTGCTACTAGTGGTTGCAAAGAACCCTATTTCTATTTTAATGATGATGTACATCTACTCTTTAAAAATAAAATTATAGGGGCGCCTGAGTGGCTTAGTCGGTTAAGCGTCCGACTTTCACTTAGGTCATGATCTCGCGGTTCATGGGTTCGAGCCCCGCGTTGGGCTCTGTGTTGACTGCCAGCTCAGAGCCTGGAGCCTGTTTCAGAGTCTGTGATTCCCTCTCTCTCTGACCCTCCCCTGCTCACGCTGTCTCTCTCTCTCTCCTAGAAATAAATAAAATATTTAAACATAAATAAATAAAAATAAAAATAAAATTATAAAAAGCTTGAAAATTAATAATAATACTCAGTGTTGGCAAAGGTATGATATAATGTGCACTCTCATATATTATTGATAGCTATATTATAAAAGACTCATAAAATCCATACTGTTTGACACAGAATTTGTACTTTTCAGAAGTACTTTGAGGTAATTATCAGAGAGGCACACATATATTTATTCATAAAAATAACTACTGCAGAATTACTTACATGATAAAACAACAAACAAACAAAATCCTAAAAAGACTCTACATATCCCAGACAAGAAGATCAGTTAAATATGGATCCGTGGTAGACTACTATGTAATCATTAAAAACTGATGAGATGGAAAGACAATTTGTGGACTAAAAAAATGTTCACAGGGGTGTCTGGGTGGCTCAGCTGGTTGAGTGTCCCACTCTTGACGTTGGCTTGTATCATGGTCTTGCCGTTCATGGGATCAAGACCTGCATCTGCTCTGCACTGGCAGTGGGATTCTCTCTCTCCCTCTTTCTCTGCCCTTTCTGCTCTCTCTCTCTCTCACTCAAAATTGACAGGCATTAAAAAAAAATAGAAAGAAAGAAAATGTTCATAATACTGTACTAAGTGAAAAACTGATCCCAATTTTATAATAAAAAAAGACTAAAGAAGAAGAAAAGAAAAGACTAAAAGAATACACCCCCACATTTAAGAGTGTATGTCTCTAGATGGACTCCTAAAATATTAGAGATTTTTTTTCATGTATGGTTATTTTGTACTTCCTTTAGGAAAAAGAAGGAGGATATATTTCCTTTAACTTTTAAATGAAAAAACAAATAAAAAAGGAATGTATTGTAGAAAATCTCACAACCCTACATGTTTTCCTTAGATCTCCTTAAATCCCTATTCAACTTTTTCCCCCCTATTCAACTTTCGCTATGAGTAGAAGAAGACTGATCAACAAGAGTATGATGCTTAGCCATGCTAAGGACTTAACATTCATGAGCTCTATAAAACAACACTATTTTTCAAACACCAGGTATGCGCCATGGTTTCCATACAGTAGGAGCTCAATAACTATCTGCGCTTCTAATCTGTTTCCTTTACCCTCAGTTTGCTGGAGATAGAGAGCTAAACACAACCTACTGGAAATAGGAAATTGCTTCACAGCAAATACTTGAGGCAAGAGATGGTTAGACTTAAATCTGATCCTCAGCACTTGTATTTAAATTATGTTTTACAGTAAGAATTCTGAAAAAAAAAGTACAAAACTACCAAGAAAAGACAATCCTATAGGTTCTTTTAAAAAACATAAGCATACTCAAATTCCCCCAGGGAGACACACTGAAAGTCCTTATACTATACACTGATAGGATCATTTAAAATGTCTTAAATTTATGTAGATTTGAGTCACAAATATTTTCTACTTCTAGGCTCATTTAGAACAAATAGATATAAATGACCAGCTCATATATGCCTTCTGCACAAAGAATGGTGGCTGCAATAAAACAGGAAGCCAAGGAGAATGCATTACACAAAATCAATGGGCCAACTTGAAGAATATAACTCTGAAATTAAAAAGTAAAAATATTAGGTAATCACCAAAAACAAACCCAAAACAGTCTGAAAAATGCACCAAGTTGTACCTATATTTCATTAATAACTCACTCTATGTTACTTTCTAATGATATGCCTCATTGTTTCAATAGAGGATAGTGGGTTTTTTGGTTTTGTTCTTTAGTTTGGTTTAAATGAGTAGAAAGTATCTCAGTATCCATAGCTGGGAGAAGCCTAATTATAATCATGATATTCCAGAAAATCTAAAGCAACTTTAACAATAAAATTTTAGGACAAAATGAAGTGCCTAGAAGATCTGATCTTTTAAATCTGAACCTACAGAAGCAACATGAATGTCCTCTACCCTTAAGATCACTTGTAATGTAACAGCTGGAAGAACGAGTCATCTAGTTCAGCACCCTCACTGGACAAGTGTGGAAACTGAAGATTAGAGAAATTTAGTGACTTGCTGAGGGTCATATGGTGAGTGAGCAGTCAGGATAGATAAAAACTCTTTGCCCTGTATCACACTACCTCTAAGAAAACACAATTCAAAAAAGAGAGAGAGAGAAAGGAAAAATGAAGGGAGAGAGGGAAAACTAATGACCTATTTGGTTATTTTAAAATTAATTTGCTCTAGAAGATGTATTATATTGGTATAAGGAAAATGAGCATAAAATGTTTTTTAAATACATAAGGAAGAGGAAATGAAAGGATCTGCCAGTAAAGTAGTATATATTCAGAGAAAATTTAACGGCTGTTATAAAGACAAAAAAATTAAGATGATTTATGGTTAACAGATTAAGTCTTTAAAATCCATCAAAAATTCACTTGCTCTGTGACTACTCTTGAGTTTTCAAGACTATTTGTGTGAATATCCAAGTATCTGTAAATTTATCTGGCTTTTGGAGGATCTCACACTCCCTGGACAGGACGAAAATGGATCTATGTTGGCCACTCTAGCATGTTCACTCTACTCTGATTAGGCCTCCCCCAGACTACTCCCAAACATGAGCTACATGCGTGGGTTCTGGGACTCTCCTGGCTGCTTCTGGAATAAGAAGAAATCTCTCTTGACAGCCAATAAACTGACAAAGTTGATAACATTTTAATCTTAATAAACAAAAGGTAAAATATTCTAAATCTGATGAATGTAAAAGAAAGAGTTTTCTATACCACGATAAGAATCTTTTAGCTACAGTGCTTGGGGTACCTGGGTGGCTCAGTTGGTTAAGCACCCAACAATGGCTCAGGTCTCACAGTTCATGAGTTCGAGCCCCAGGTCAGGCCCTGTGCTGACAGCTCGTAGCCTGGGGCCTGCTTCAGACTCTGTGTCTCCCTCTCTCTCTCTGCCTCTCCCTTGCTTACACTCTCTCTTTCAAAAATAAATAAACCTTAAAAAGATTTTTTTTAACTATTAAAAAAATAAAATGTCAGTGCTTGAAGGTCTTTAGAGTTAATTTAATGCCATACTCTCATTTTACAGATAAAGCAATTTTTTTTAAATGTTTTAAATGTTTTATTTATTTATTTATTTATTTATTTCTAGGAGAGAGAGAGACAGCATGAGCAGGGGAGGGTCAGAGAGAGAGGGAGTGACAGACTCTGAAACAGGCTCCAGGCTCTGAGCTGGCAGTCAGCACAGAGCCCGACGCGGGGCTCGAACCCACGAACCGCGAGATCATGACCTGTGCGAAAGTCGGACGCTTAACCGACTAAGCCACCCGGGCGCCCCACAGATAAAGCAATTTTAAACTGAGAGACAGGTAGTAACTTGTTCAAAGACTCACTTTCTTGGAAACTATTTTTTTTCCAGGTATAGTGTGTAAGTATTGGATATAGGAGACAACTTAATTTAGAAAGTATTCATATTAATTTAGTCTAGGGAAAGCAGTACATTCTAGAGAGTCTGGGAAGATGGACAGGCAGGTTATAATCACTCAGAAATTCCAAGCTTGTTTCCAAAGCTGCTATCCCATGGAACAGTGAGTAGCTCAATGAATGTTAATAGATGAGGGTGTGGGGGAGAGAGAGAGTTCAGGGTCAAGTAAAATTTGAAAACAGTGGATTGAACAAAGTAAAACAGAATTTTTTATATCTAACTTGCACGCAGTCTTTAATACATTAATGTTAACTGAGAATACCCTAGAGTGGTATGTGTTGCGTTTCACTAATTTACCTAGACCTGAACTTTTTTTTTTTAGTTCATACTTACTCACATCTCCCTAAATAGTATACTCACAAGCTCATATTAAGAAATCTTTGCCCTGGGGAGAGGGAGGGAGGCAAACCATGAGAGACTCTTGAATGCGGAGAACAAACTGGGGGCTGATGGGGGTGGGGGAGGGGGAAGGAGGGGTGATGGGCATGGGGGAGGGCACTTGTTGGGATGAACACTGGGTGTTATATGTAAACCAACTTGACAATAAACTATTTTTAAAAAATTAAAATAAAATCTCATAGATCTCATCAGAATTAAAAAAAAAAAAAGAAATCTGTGCCCATTATCTTTAAACACAGACATCAGAAAACCAAGCATTTTCAAGTTACAATACATTGCTATCACCTTGCTCCCACTCAAGGTTGCAGCTCTTAATAACCTACCCTTGCTCTGCATAATTCAATCAATCTTACTGGAACAGTGACAGAATACTGGAATTGGACCACTTTAATCCAGAGTTGCCAAAAGGCTGAAATATACATGTTCAGAGTTCAATTCAACATATATTTATTCAATATCTACTATACACAAGGTACACAAATCAATCTTTCCAACCATTTATATCTCCTTTTCTTCTCTTTCAATGCTTTCAGTTCTAATAAGTTAATTTACCACTATAGTATCTCCTTTCTTATTACCCCACTACATATTAAACTATCAGCATTTTATTTCCATCTGGGGAGGATGACTCCTAGGAAAGGAAAATACAACAGAGAACTAATAGAGCATACATTTTTGCTTTCTGACATACCAGTTTTATTTTGAGGGGCTTTCAAACACATCCATTTTATTTCAAAGTGGCCTAAATTTGCCTCTCTATATTAGTATCATGACTATTAAAACAATTCTTTTATTTATTTTTTTTAAGAGTCTGTTTATACTCATTTGATTTTAGCTAGAAAATGTTCATTTACTAGGAAAGTAGCATTAAAATCACAATGCTTTCTTTGCAGCCAAATAGGTTAAAAGATAGAAAAGCTTTCCTTGGTGCGCCTAGGTGGCTCAGTCGGTTGAGCTGTCAACTTCAGCTCAGGTCATGATCTCACAGTTCGTGGGTTCAAGCCCCTCATCTGGCTCTGTGCTGACAGCTCTGAGTCTGGAGCCTCCTATAGATTCTATGTTTCCTTCTCTCTCTGCTCCACCCTGACACCTGCTCTTTCATTCTCTCTCTCAAAATTAAACAAACATTAAAAAAAATTAAGAAAAAAAAGAAAAGCTTTCCTTATTATATAGAAATTTTCAGTACCTCTTGAAAGTCATCCATTCCTGAAAAAATATTAGGCCCTTTATTGGTTCTTCCCCCACGGTCTTTGCGTTTGATTTTCTTCGGCAAACCACGTCCACGACCAACATTAAAACTTTTAACCCTCTGTTCAATACCTAAAAGAGTTAAATGTACTTCAAATATTACAGAAAAACAACATGACTGTCACTCTATTAGTTTATAGGGAACAGGATATTTTAAATAGAATAAAATATACAGTTCATTCTTTTTCTTCCTCTCCAGATTCAATGAAAAAAAATTAATTAAATGCTTACATTTTACTTCCTGGGTATTGCGTTTCATTTTTTTTTCAAGGGATGTTAATGATAGTAAGAAAAGCAAGGCACAATACTCATGGCTAGAGAAACCACATCTAGTTCTGTTCTTTTCAATTTTCCTCGGAATAAGAAAATCGTGTTTCAGAGAATTAAACATTATATTCATCCCTAAGGAAGACACTGTAGATATCAGTGGTTACTTTAATCAAATTTAGTTTCTAGTGATAATTTTGAGTAGATATCACATATATTTCCAAGTAAAATTTATACTTGCCCTACTTTTTAAAAACTTGTTATTAAAAATATCTAAAATTATGAAAATTAAATATTAGGGTAGAATACAGAGTATTTCTCATTTTACCAAAGTACCACCAAACTAATATATTTTCTTACATATTAAGTGATCTTAAACCTACAAAACAGCAAACAAATATATGGGAAAAATGTTTTACTTCATCAAAAAGAATCAAAGAAATTAAAAATCTTAAATAACATACCAATTTTCACCTCAAGGAGTATTGGAAGAGATTTGGAAAAATTGGCATTTCATACACTGGTGTGCTGTTAAAAACTGATCTATTAACTTTTTGGAAATCAACCTTGGTATGTGAATCAAATTCTTCAAATGTGTGGCTATATCTTTTGACTCAATTCTGCATTTCAGAATTTATTCTTAGAAAATATTTGTTAAGACATTTTCTGAGACTTTATAAATATGTATGGTTAATCACAGAATTCAAAAAAATGGGTGCAACTTAAATCTTAAGACTTAAGTTGCACTAAAATCTCAAGCAGTTACTATTACACAAACCTAAGAATCTGTTAGACAAATTATGGTATATCTATTTAATTGAATAGAATGCAGACATTAAAAGCTACTTATTAACATAAGAATGAGATATACTTCATAGTTAAGGGAAAAAACAAGTTAAACAGCATGTGTAGTTTTTTGTTAAAAATAACTGTCAGAAAAATTCTGGAAAAATGTATACCAAATATATTAATAGTCCTTATTTTTGGGTGCAGGGATTCAAATTATTTTTGTTTTATCTTTGGTCTTTGTTGGGTTATTATTTCCACACTCAGAAAAAGTTTTCTGCAGTTGACCATATATTTCATAACTCAGGGGGAAAAATGAATGTCAAAAATAAAAGAATACTCAATTTTTTAACAAAGCAAACAGGAAGAACCTGAAAGGGAAAACCCCAGGTGGGAATGGATGAGCAAAACCTGTCTATGTTCCCTTATTCCCCAAGTGGAATGATTCCTGACACCACTATGTCTAGACTTCAGGAACAAATTTAATAATTACAATAGCATATGCACAGGCAGATTCCTTTCCTTTTTAGGTCAGCAAAGCCTGGATACTTATTTTTCAAAGGAATTTTGCTAGGATATCAAGAAAAAATAAAGTCATAAAAATTACCACATTTACTCATAACTAATTCCTTTTTTCAGTGATAATTATAGTAACACAGTGTTTGGGTGGTCACTGTTTCACTTAAGTCTCATCTTGCTCCAGTTTTCATGAAGCAGACATTGAGTAGACAATTCTTAAGTGTGATTTGACTTTTATGTGACCCAGAGTTTCTATAGCAACTTCCCATGGTCTCTCCAGGGACCATGTGCTTCAATACAGCAGATGAATTGATGAACACTACAGAAACTTCTTTAGTTTATGTTCATATTTCCAATCTTGAAGAATATCCATAATCCTAAGTATAAGTACATTTGTACAGCAAAGATGATCACCGTCTTTGAAAGTCTAATAAAAGAATACCTTCCCGGAATTCTCTCCTTACAGGTCTAAAATATAGAGCAATGCATAGAGTAACAGAAACAACTGAAAAAGGTAGGCTATTTTTTCATTAAACTGATAACATTATACAAGAAAAGGGAAAAAAGTAACAGGAAGGTTGTTTTACATTTTTATATATTTTAAAAATGTTAGAGTCTCTTTCTAACTCAAATATTAAGATACCATGCAGACTGAAGTCTGTAGATGTCTGTCCTCAAAATTTGAAAATAAAGAAAAATGAATTCAGGAACCACAGGGTAAGCTGGTCTTGAGAAGAGACTAAGAAATTTAAGTTTTTACTCCATTGCTACCTGTTGTAATAAGGTTCCCATATTTAAAAACAGCCCAACAATTTCACACTTACCTTGCTGAACTTTCATTCTTTGTTTTTTCCCTGGTTCTTTAGAAAATGATGATCCTAAAGCAGTGCTTGAGGTTTCTTTAGTTTGTCTGTACTGTTTTAGCTGACTGGCAAAATCTTCCTCTGTTTCCTGACTGTAGGTACCAAAGTTGTCATCACTGTAGGTACTGTACTCATCATATTCCTTACTTTTAAATTTTTTGTTATGTTGACTCTTCTTTGATGTCATGTAGCTTCCTGATAAATGTCCATGCTAAGTAAAAATGGACAATTATTATTAGAATTTTTCAGATATATAAATGAATTGATAGTAACACAGGACATCTTTTTCCCCCCAGAATTTGGAAAAAGAAGGGGAAAGGCAGATATAGTTCTGACTCTTGGCTAGTGCTTGTCTATGACAGGATTTAAAACTAAGTTCAAAAAGCTAAGTGCTACTCTGGTATTATTGAACATTATAATGTTCATAGATCCTTGCTTATGAGTGGGTTTTATTCCTTTTTTGTTTTCCATGTCCAGTGTCTCAATGTTTGTACACAAAAGTATACTTAAAAATCCATACCGTTATACATGAATTCCTTCTCTAAAAAGTTGAAAAAGTCTTTTTGAAAATAAGGAAAATATATGGGCGCCTGGGTAGCTCAGTAGGTTGGGTGTCTGACTCTCGACTTTGGCTCAGGTCACAATCTCACGGCTTGTGGGATTGAGCCCGGTGTTAGGCTCTGCACTGGCCATTGTGCAGCCTGCTTGGGATTCTATCTCTCTCTCTCTCTCTCTCTTTGCCCCTCCCCTGCTCACATGTACTCTCTCTCTTTCTTTCAGAATAAATAAACTTAAAAAAAAGAAAATAAGGAAAATATAGTAAAACAGCTTGAGGTGGGAGTAAATACGTATTCTCCTAACACTGTCCCAAATAACAAATTTAAGCATATTATACTTAACAAAAAAAACTACATGTATGGAAGTTTTAGAAAAAGAAAGTGTTTCTATCTGAGGTCTAACAAGGATATCTCTAAAAGTTAAAAACATCTAGTGAATATACTGCTCATTAAGAACTATTTATTATAATATACATGATTGATTTTATTAATAATTTATTTTACTAAAGCATATGAAAAATAATACATTTTAGTCCTATGGTTTTATTTAATGGTAGTATTCAATTCTATTCACTAAAATATTTTTATTAGTGCTATCATATCTTCTGTCCATATTTTTAAAAGGAAGAAAAAATACATATAATTACAATTTGAGGCTAGCAAAATCTAAACCATGATTCATCTCCAGCTTAGCACATTTAAAATATAATGCAAAAATACTGCCTACCCTGGCAGATTACCACCATGACACTATGTGTTTTTAAAATATTAAGATCTTTTCAGTAATTATAAAATAGAAAAAAAATAATTAACTCAAAATATCAAGAAAATCAATTAGCTCTTCAATTTTAAATTTTGAAGACATTGTATTTGATTTGACTTGTTTTAAGCAGTATTTTTTTTTAATGTTTTATTTATTTCTAGGAGAGAGAGAGAGACAGCATGAACAGGGGAGGGTCAGAGAGAGAGGGAGTCACAGACTGAAACAGGCTCCAGGCTCCGAACTGGCAGTCAGCACAGAGCCCGACGCGGGGCTCGAACCCACGAACCGCGAGATCATGACCTAAGCGAAAGTCGGACGCTTAACCGACTCAGCCACCCAGGCGCCCCTTTAAGCAGTATTTTTTAAATTTATAAAAAATTTATAAACTGTTCTCATCTAGCACTTTAGAAATTCAGAAGAGGATCTAGAATTACAGCGAAAGGGCAGTGTTTCTCAAAAATTTTTAAAATACTATGAAAATAAAATAAAAAATAATAATATAGATAAAGTTGAAGATTAATTTTTAGTTGAATGGTGCTTACTTTTTCTTTTAATAAAAAATTGATTCTATGACATACCAAACCAAATGGATTTCATAGATATATTCAGAACATTTCATCCTAAAACAGAATAAACATTCTTTTCAAGTGCACACAGAATACCCTCCAGAATAGATCACATATAGGCCACAAAACAAATCTCAACAATTTTTTTGAGTGAGCAGAGATTTAATCAATTTTGTTGGTTTTTCAAAGAACCATCTCCTGGTTTCATTATGTTGTTTTCTTAGTTTCTATATTGTTTATTTCTTCCCTTATCTTTATTATTTCCTTCTTTCTGATGGTTTTAGATATTGTTTGTTCTTCTTTTACTAACTCCTTTAGGTATAAGGTTAGGTTATTGAGATTTTTCTTACTTCTTGAGGTAAGCCTGTATTGTTGTAAACTTCCTTCTTAGAACCACTTTTGCTGCTTCCCCAAAATTTTGGACTATTGTGTTTTCATTTTCAATTGTCTCTATATTTTTTTTAAATTTCTTCTTTGATTTCTTGGTTTACCTGTTTATTGTTTAGTAGCATGTTATTTAACCTCCAGGTATTTATGCTCTTTCCAGATTTTTTCTTGTGATTGATTTCTAGTTTCATTGTGTTGTGGTCAGAAAAGACTCATGGTATCACTTTGATCTTTTTAAATTGTTGAGATTTGTGGGGCGCCTGGGTGGCTTAGTCGGTTAAGCATCCGACTTTCGCTTAGGTCATGATCTCGCGGTTCGTGGGTTCGAGCCCCGCGTCGGGCTCTGTGCTGACTGCCAGCTCAGAGCCTGGAGCCTGTTTCAGAGTCTGTGACTCCCTCTCTCTCTGACCCTCCCCTGCTCATGCTGTCTCTGTCTCTCTCCCCTAGAAATAAATAAAACATTAAAAAAAAAATTAAAAAAAAAATAAAATAGAGAACTACAGGTCAGTATCTCTGATAAACATAGATTTAAAAACCCTCAATAAAATCTTAGCAAACTGAATTCAATAATACATTAAAAAATCATTCATCACATTCAAGTGGGATTTATTCCTAGGATGAAAGCAAGGATAGTTCAATAATCACAAATCAATCAACATGATACATCATATCAATAGGAGAAAGGAAAAAATATGATTATTTCAATAGATGCAGAAAAAGCATTTGACATAAATACAATATCCATTCACGATAAAAGTCCTCAACAAAGTAGGTTTAGAGGGAATATACCTCAACATAATAAAGGCCTTAAATGAAAACCCCACAACTAACATCATAAACAATGGGGAAAAACAGAGCTTTTCTGCTAAGGTCAGGAACAAGACAAGGATATCCACTCTCACCTCTTTTATTCAACATAGTACTAGAAGTCCTAGCTACAGCAATCAGACAAGGCAAAGGAATAAAAGGTATTCAAATTGGTAGGGAAAGAGCAAAACATTTACTATTTGCAGATGACATGATACTACACTTAGAAAACCCTAAAGACCACCAAAAAACTACTAGAACTAATAAATGAATTCAGTAAGGTCACAGATACCAAATCAGCATACAGAAAGCATTGCATTTCTATACATTAATAATGAAGCAGCAGAAAGAGAGATTAAGAAAACAATCCCATTTACAGTTACACACACACACAAAGTAAATACCTAGGAATAAACTTAACCAAAGGGGTGAAAGATCTATACTCTGAAAACTATAAAACACTGATAAAAGAAAATGAAGATGATACAAGCAAATGGAAAGATATTATATTCCATGCTCATGGACTGGAAGAACAAATATTGTTAAAATGTCTATATTACCCAAAGCAATCTACACATTTAATATAATCCCTATCAAAATACCAATAGCATGTTTTTACAGAACTAGAACAAACAATCCTAAAATCTGTATGGAACCATAAAAGAACTCAAATAGGGCAAAGCAATCTTGAAAAAGAAATATAATACTGGAGGGGTGCCTGGGTTGCTCAGTTGGTTGAGTGACCAACTCTTGATTTTGGCTCAGGTCATGATCCCAGGGTCATGGGATCAAGCCCAGTGTGCACTGAGCATGGAGCCTGCTTGAAATTCTCTCCCTCCTCCTCTGTCCCTCTCCTACTGTCTCTCTAAAAAATAATTAAAAAAAAAAGAAAAACAAAACTGGAGGCATCACAATTCTAGACTTTAAGTTATACTACTAAGAAAGCTGTAGTAGTCAAAACAGTGTGGCACTAGCACAAAAAAAGACACATACATCAATAAACAAAATAGAAAGCCCAGAAATAACCATACAATTATATGGTCAATTAATCTTTGCCAAAGGAAGCAAGAATATGCAATGGGAAAAAGATAGTCTCTTCAATAAATGGTGCTGAGAAATCTAGAGAGCTACATGCAAAAGAATGAAATAGGACCACTTTCTTACACCATACACTAGAAAAAAACTCAAAATGGATTAAAGATTTAAATGTGAGATGTAAAACAATAAAAATCCTAGAAGAGAGCATAGGCAGTAATTTCTCTGATATTAGCCATAATAACATCTTTCTACATCTGTCTCCTGAGGCAAGGGAAACAAAAGCAAAAATAAAACTACTGGTACTACATCAAAATAGAAAGTTTCTTTTTTTTTTTTTTTAATTTTTTTATGTTTTATTTATTTCTAGGAGAGAGAGAGACAGCGTGAGCAGGGGAGGGTCAGAGAGAGAGGGAGTCACAGACCGAAAGAGGCTCCAGGCTTTGAGCTGGCAGTCAGCACAGAGCCCGACGAGGGGCTCGAACCCACGAACCGCGAGATCGTGACCTAAGCGAAAGTCGGACGCTTAACCGACTAAGCCACCCAGGGGCCCCCATTTTGTTTTCTTGAGGGCCTATTTAATAGGAGGCCCAAGACTGTTAGGTCCGGATATTTGCATAGTGCAAGTCTATATGAAGGTAGCTGCACTTTGCATAAATAAGCTGTAATTAAAAGCTGCCTCCAAATGCTTCCGTGCATTTGCCAAGCTCCAGATTTATTACCCTGAGGTAAGAGAAAAGCAGGAGCCCAAGAAAGAAGCTGAGGAAGCAGAAACTTTTGTAAGAATTGGACCATTTTCTCTCTNCAGATCAGCTGCTTGCCATAAAAACTTTTAATTTAATATTAATTTAATTCTACGATTTTTCACAGCCTTTACAAAATAATCTCCATATTCCTACTGTGTAATTAAAAAAAATTTTTTTAATGTTTATTTCTTTTTGAGAGAGAGACAGAGAGAGAGAGAGAGAGAGGCACGCAGAATGAAGTGTGGGAGGGGCAAAGACAGAGGGAGACAGAGAATCTGAAGTAGGCTCCAGGCTCTGAGCTGTCAGCACAGAGGCCAACGTGAGACTTGAACCCACGGATGGCGAGATCA